TGTTTATTGTTTTGTTTGCCATAAGTTGTACAAAGCAAAAAAATCTAATTATTTAAACTCTCATGGCGAGAAAGCCCAAGAGAAGCCACCGGGCCTATAAGGAAAGGGCTCCCTCAGTTAAATAATTAGAACAAAATATTATCATAATTACACAAGGGAAAAATCAATGGCAGAGCTACAGTAAATCTTAAAATATATTAGATAGTCGTACTGATCATAGTTCTAGGCTAAAAAAAGCGAAATGACAAAAAGAAAAAGAAAAAAAAATACAGACACACACACACACACACATACGCACCCCTGCATTCTTGTGAGGACCATATTTCCAGACCCTAGTTGCGAGGACACCCTTTTCCACAGCAGTTATCCAAATGATACTGGGGCATTTATTAGCTGACTTCTTGGCCTCTTAAAACATCTGGTCGAAATTAGAAAATGGCCAATATTTTTTGTGGGGACACTGTTGTGGGGACACTTTACATTGCGAACTTTGCCTACTTGTGGGGACTGTGGTCTGGACAGTACTTATGGGCACACAGAGCTACACACCCGACTTGTGGGGATTGCATCTTGAGAGAGTACTTATGGGTACACATGGCAAAACACCTTACTTGTGGGAACTAGTTGGACAGTGCGTATAGGGACACGTCAATACACCCAGCTCGTGCTTGTTGGACAATCATTTGCTCAATTAGAAAGACCTATTTGATAAGAGTTTCGTAGATTTTTACTTCTCTTAGGGGATTTAGCTCTCACTTCCCTTAATCTGACATGCACCAAACGGATTCAAACTGCATTAAAATAAAGGATTAAGAATGAAAAACATAAGAGCTCTTATTTTTCACATTATAGCAAGGTCCAATTTATCATTTCTATTTTCTCAGTGGTAGTGAAAAAGGAAACTGAGCTTTGTTAACCTGTGCAGTAAACAATATCAATATCTGCACGTTCTGCCCTCAGAGAAAGTTTTCGCCGAGTACCTAAGGTGATGTAATTATGACGGACCAAACCTGCCAACTCTCACCATATGAGGTTTTTCCCACCCTAGCCGGGATTTTACTCAATACGAGTGTAGCGAGGTTTTCCCAGCTTATTGTAGACACAAACAGTTGGCTTGGTTGCTCTTTTCTTAAGCCTTTCCGTCCAGCGGATGTTTCTTTGAAATCAAAGGAATCGGTTAATGAAAGTATCCACTCCACGTCTGGCCCAAAGAGAAATGATAAGTTTGGTTTTCCCAAGTCTCGCTGTTTCTAGAGACAAAGTCGGGGAAACATCAAAACGAGGGAAAACAAAACATACTATTTTTCCTTGAAGATTAGACATTATTCAACAGGGGGATAAAAACAAACAAACAAACAAACAAACATACCTTAACAAAGCACAACTACAATTTCCTCCAAAGAAAATTTCCGACAAATACATCATGAAAGTGATGCAAAATACAAAATGAAACTAAGCTTTCAATTAAACACTAATACAATCTTTATCATTTTGAATGGTTACATTTGCGCCAGTGAAAGCTCCCGCTTGAAAATTCACGCTCTCTCTTGTTTTTCCATACATAGATAATTAAGCACTAAAGGACCCTAGTCAGCCTCTTCCATTGTCGATGCCATCGAAGGTATTGATATTGCATGGAGACGCAAAATATTATGGCTTTACTGTAAATGGTGTTCCAGAAAGTATGTTTAATTATCTTTAGTAGTTTCACAGTGAGTTCCTTCGTTTGCACATCGGAGTAAAATGTAGTAGCCAAACTCTCGCATATAAACAAAAAAAAAAGTATGGCTGACTAGGGCTCTTTAATGACTGGCCCCGCATTTCTCCGAGACCCTCATTGTTCCCCGAGGCGTGAAATTAACGAGACAAAGTATCACACACCAAAACACTGAAGAATCCTTAAGGAAAGCATAGTTAATAGAGGGACATGGTTATGAAACCTGGCAAACTGAAGTTCTTTCTTGTATGTTCTTGTTGGTTATTTTGGGGGTTGACCCTGGCAAAATACAAAAGGTGGTTATGTGTGCTCATACAACTAACCAACTTAGAACCATCTCGATTATGTAATTCGTGCAGTCATTGAGCATAAAACTGAAAAGATGTGCAGGGTCAAGGACCTTCCAACATAAATCTTAGCCTGTTTCAGTGTTTGCTTCTTCGATGTTTAATGGGTTCTTAACCATTTCCCTCTATGTGGAGAGGCATTTCTCCAGAAAACCTGCGACATTCTACAAGTTAAACCTCTTTCAGAAGTTAGATACAACACTTGATACGTCTTGTTTATCTACGTTATGAAATTTGATTAAAATCTACTGGCAAATCTGAGCGATAAAAACAGTAACCTAAACATTCCGATCACTGTACAACGTGGCATGTTGTAAAATTGCAACTAGAATCGATTTGGAAAACATGGCCCGGGTTGTAAAAATCAATGTTTGCAAATCCAATTTTACAAATCCACGGTTAAAGAATAAGTTCATGTCCTACCAAAACACCTTTCTGGGCTTGGTTTCATTAAGCGACGTCGTTATAGCACTTATGACTCAGTGAAAATCAAAACTAGGAGTCGTTATCTCGGCGTAAAGTGTAATTCAGTGGTAGAATAGAGCTCTACAAAGCTCGTTTCGATGCATTGTGATTGGTTCAGTTCGTTCGATTCCTGCTAGATCATAGTGACAGAGTCATGAGCAGAATTCACTAGATCACAACGCCTCTGCGCTTCTGACTACGACTCCGATTGACAGATCCACTTTTCATGAATCAAAGTTTACAAATCCAGATCACTTTGTACAAACTTTAATCTGGTCTATCTTTTACATGTCACACACACACAAAAAAAGAAATGACAACATGATTGTCACGGTGAGTACAGTATATACCGGTAATAGCGGAAAGATGAAAGCCAAACGTTCGCATTCATGACCAACGCAAAAATACGGTTGTTGTTTTGCAGTCTACTGCTATTCTGTGCGATTTTGTTGGTGGCTTCAAACAGTACCGTTGAACATGGGTTAGCAGCTTTAAAACGTAAATGCGATTCACCAATTAATAACAAGCATTTTAATAAACACGATACAACTTTTGAAATCCACGTTTCAGCATGACTCATGCATTCAACGAAACAGCAGAATTATCCGTAGTCCGAACCTGTGGAACGAAGTGCGTTCGCGGACGGACAACTAATACACGTACCGCATTGATGAACGCGTGGTTGATTAGAGAATGAAAATTAATGAGCAGAGATGAACATTTCTGGACATACGATAGGAAACTAAGCACGTCCGCAAGTTCTGAGACGACCAATTGCAACTGCTATTCCGTATTTTTCTAAACCACGTTTACTAGTTCGTTTAGGCCTAATGCTTGTACAAAATTTAACGGTAGAAATACATTACTAAGTCTTCCGAGAGTGCTGTCGCTGAGTCGGCCGCTTCTTTGTATCGCATTCTGTGTTGCGATACTACACCTTGTTTTTTCTTCCAACCTCTCGGTTGTCCGGTTTCTTAAATCCTTCAATCTGATTGCCTAATCTCGCGCGCTCCAGCGGTCCGGCTTTGTCCACCCGGACCCCGGTCAATTTTTTTTAAGCCGTACGTTTTCAATTTTCAATAACATCGATTTTTGTTACATAAAGGACATTTTGGGCCAAAAACCAACCTTGTTAAACGTAATGTTTCCCTTCACAGCGTCACATGTAAATAAAGGTCCGGTAATACGGGCAACATTTTTCTTCAACTTGTCTCGCAACATTTTTGCATTGCAAGGTGCAATCCTCTGTTGCGCGTATGACCACGTTTGTGACCAACTTGTCTTGCAGCAAAATACAGTGTTGCAAGTCTGCGAATTCTATTCTCTATTAAACAATTGTCCATAATTCACTCTGTTTGCCCGCAAATTTTGCATTAACTACTGATGTGAAATTTTCTTGGGAGGTCTGCGTATTCCCAAGAGAATTTCACATTAGTTTATTCAAAATTTGGGGGGCAAAAGAGTGAATTATGGGCAATTGGAAAATAGAGAATACGTTTTCATTGGTCAATCGTGTGCAAATAAAGATGGCGCCTTCCGGCCATTATTTTCTTAATTTTCCGTGCCAGCGAAGTTCTCTCAGTATGAAGCTCAGTGTTGTTTCAGAACGAAATAAAGTTTTGTTGTTGTAATAGATAGCTAGGCGAAAAGTTGTATTTCTGCAACAGTTCTTTCAAGCCTTTTGTCTGTTTTGCCGCTTGTTTCGAACGGACAAACGAGGCGCCCCAAAGACTAGGATAGCCCTTGAGGTCTTTGCACAGGGCAAATTTATTACTTTCAGTGAGTTACTGGCCTACTTCGAATTCAGATTGTTCTTCACCGTCCGCCATGTTTTTTTTTTGCCGCGTTGCCGCGCTTTGCGACAGCCAATCACAAGCGTCGAATTCAAATTTACTGCGAGACAAGCTGTAGCTTCAGTGGTAATACGAGCTGCAAAACTAAAATTTGTTGCAGAAAATAGAACTTGAGTCTACTTTGCGCAACATGTTGCCTCGACTTACAACACTATTTTGCTGCGAGAAAAGTTGCTATCAAACGAAAAGAGTGTTTCAACTTGCAATGCAACAATATTGCGAGACAAGTTGAAGAAAAATTTTGTCTGCATTACCGGACCTCAACTCCTACAATTTCTGCATACAGCAGTATCGCTTTCTGTGCTCGAAACTCAAGCGTACGCAAGATTTAAACTGAAAGGCAACACGAAATATGCTTTAAAACAGCATCGTAGCGAGAAAAATAGGTAAGTAAATAAAGAAGTCATTTGCCAGCCTTGGTTCGTCCGCATTAGGAAAAACTGTACCCTTGGTTTTGAGTACGGCCGTACTCAGTCAAAACTTCGGGCACAGTTTTTCCCAATGCGGATGAACCAGCGCCGGCAAATAACAAATACTTATTTCAAAAAAATCGTCATTGCTGATTCACTGCTCAATACATGATGCCTCTAATGATGTAGAACAATATAAAAATGATACTTAGTTTCTTCGATACTCCAACTTGGTATCATTACAGATTTCCCACACAAGCACAGGGTCCAGAGGAGATGTGTTTGTCGTTAGAACATCAAAACCCGTCGAAAACCTCTGAAAAAACGGGTTATTTTGATCGCGTTACGGTTTCGTTACACATTCTATAGACCGCAAACCAAGAGACTGAGGGCTCGCAAGATCGGCTTACAGTATAAAATACGGAAAGGGAGGAAACAAATTTGGGGCCAATTTTCGAATCCCTGAAACTCAAATGGAATTGAATCAAATCGCCTGATTTTACTAACCTGATCTAGAATTCTTATGTATTTGCCAAATACTGCAGGAAAACGGCATAAGAAAGCGTTCAAATTCATTTTCGGCGACCGAAATTTACGGCTTCTAGAGAGCGCTTTCGTTCGGTGTGCATCGCAACACATGGTGACGGAAATGACGTAGTAAAGTAAATGTGTTCAAGATGGGAGCAATAAAAGGGAAGCCTACACGACTTTTGCCTCATGCCAAAATCAAAATGCTGCTCGTTCCAATAAAGTTTTTTTCCTCTGCTGGGTAGATTATGCTCTGGAAGGTTCTACAGCAAATGTGATTTTAGCGGGAATTTTAGCCGCATGTTTCACACTGAGAGGTCATGACACATATCGATTTACTGTGGTTATTGTTTCTGGTCGGCAGGATTTGCCCTCTGATGAAAGCGCATTTTCTTTGACCTCTTTTGAAGCGTAAAGCTTTTTATTACGGCTGAACAAGGGTTCCAGTTTTCTCCAAAGTGCCTTCTGGATCTGAATAACTAAGCGATTTTCTTTAGTCCGTGAATGTAATGTTTTTCTTCAGTGCTGTATCACGCTGGGCCCAGCTTGTTAGTTTTGTTTGGAGAATGTTAATTATTACGGATAGTGATTTACGGGTCGTATGTACTCTTGCAATAAAAAGTGACCCTCAGTAGAGCGGGCGTACAAGGCAACTGTAATATCATCACGACTGTGCCATTCTTCGGTGGTCCAACTTACCTCTTGCGTCTTTGGCTGTGAGTTTTGCGACTACTGGGAAGCCTTCGCACAAACAAAACCTGCTTAAGACATCGAAGAGTGTTGAAACGTACAACAAATGTCTAGTCTTGAAAGATCTTCACTTCAATTAAAACTCTGTTGTTTTCGCATAGATCTCTGAGATCTTTAAAACTCTCTCCGTAGCTGATGTTTTGATTCTCGAATTAGCAGCGGTCTGTTACTTTTGCGTTTCCGGTCTCATTCCGACTTCCGTCACCGAGTACTGCGGTTCACATAGAACGAAGTCACGTGGTACAAGTTTCCTCCCTTGTCCTTTCTTTTACTCGGCACTTCGTGCCTCGGTCGCCCTCCGGGCGACGATCTTCGGTCACCCTTCGGGCGACGTGCCGTGCGCCAGCGAGGATATGGCTTGCGGCTATTGATTTTCAAAAGTCGATCTGGGTCAGATAAGAAGCGAAGAAATCGTTTACAGTAGATTTATAAAGATCCCATTGGGCTAATTAATCGTGCTAAGCGACAGGTATAGACATTTTTCAAGGTAAGTAATTCATTTATTCATACGAAACTGCTCTGGACCCTGTGACACAAGGAGACACCTATTGTTCTCAAAAGCTTATGAGCACCAATTATATGCAATCCAATTGTCAGCGTAAGTAGTCTAACACTAAAGAAAAAGCTTAATAATCTTACGATCATTTTACAACATTATTATTTCATTCACTGTGCTAATCTCATTTGAAGTAACTAGGACCGTGCCAGGATGACAATAGCAAACTACAAACTGTTATTTATAGTTGTGAGAACCCTCTTTCTTTTGTCACTCTGGTTCTTAATATAATATTTTACGGCTGTCTATTCCCTACGATCTAAGGCGCCATTTGCTTTGGCAATACAATTCTCACAGTCACGTTTGCCAGGAACACGTCCTCGTCTAATCCAGGGAGCGAGATACTTGAAAACAGCTTCTTTTTCCTCTTCTGTCCACGGAGTATGGGCAGTCGACTCTGCAAATCGAAAACGCTTACCTTAGTGATAAAAGCACCGTTTCTTTGCTGGAAGACAATAAAGGTTCCCAAGGATATGTAATGCCTAAAATTCCTACAGTATACGGGAAGAGCGCCTCTCAAAACCGTTACTAAAACAACGCCACATGAAAAACTCCTTCCGAAAAAGTTCGCAACCGAATTTATTGAGAGTGTAATAGATTTACAGCTCGCAAATTATAAATCAGCGCGAAAGTCGAATCAACCAAGGTAACACACACGCATCACTTTTGATGTATTGACAATACTGTGAACGCCAGAGAGTCTCTGGCGTGATAGGTTAAAAACTGCTTTAGCTTGTCAGATCAGAGAAAAATGCTACCCTGTTCGGTCAGACTTCTGCATATATTTGAGATATAGACAGTGAAAAAATATTCCAAACTTACTCCCTGACTTGAGCACAGCTTTTTTGGCATTCTTCTTAGCTGGATCTTTCCCACCAATTTTTGCCGTCTTTGTAGGTTCTTTGACAACTATAAGTAAATACACAATAAGTCAGAGAATCTAGACACAGGGAAGGGGGACAAATACAATACAAAGGTAGATATTCACAGCGCTTTTGACTTACTTTACAACAGGCGACTACATTTTTTTTACTAAAATCGACTCATTTCCACATAACAAAATATCCTATGTGCCGTTTTTATAACGAAAGGAAATTTGACCAACTTACTCTTTGTCTTTGAAATAGCACAGTTTGAATTCTCCTTATGTTGATCTTTATGTTTCTGAGAGCGACCACCCCTTATCGTCTTGTGTTCTATGTTGATAGGAAATATAAAAATTAAAAAAATCGAGATTTTGAAAAGCACTTCACAAAGATAGAAGGGTACTCCGGGGGGAATAGTGAACCAACTCACTCTTATCCTCACTTTATGATTACGAACGTCCGTCCCTGCTTAACCTACAATGTGTGTCGTTCAGACCAACTTCGGGCGGGGCCTTCCCAAACACATACACAGAGGTGGGGGAAGGGAGACTTCTACAACCTCCCAATCTTTAATACATACTCAAGAGTGATAGTGCATTAAGTTTTCAATCCATGAAGTATACACAGAGTTGAATTTATACACCTGATTTTCTAGGGAAGCATTTTCTCTTGCAGAGTTGACGGGAGGAAATCCTCTCTTATTATCTCATATTCACTGGGATTCTGAAACCCATAAAAAAAACGGATTTTCTTTCGAGAAAAGGGGCAAGAAAAGGAATTGCGACACCATGTAGTTAAATTTTACATAGTTTTGTTCTATCACGAGGATATTTTTCTCATCACCTTCGACAACACGGTTGTCCTCATCACAATCATCAAGCTCCCCATCCGTGTCTGAAAATTCCAGATACGCAATATCTAAAAGAAAGCAATAAGAAACAATATGACTACGCATCGAACACTAGAGTCGCTAACCACCAGCAGCTTGGAAACTTGCCCCTTGTCTCGACAGATTGCAAAGAATGTCGTATTTTGACACCTAAAACAAGTCAATAAAAGGAATAAGGAGTCTATGGAGAAAATTTTTTTTTTTTGCGCACCAGAGGCTGAATATATCGAACACATTTTAATTTTATGGGAGAACTAATGCTGACTATCGTTCCTCTACTCGCCAGCTAAGTGACAACCTTTAGTCGCACTGCTTAACATGAGCTTCGTTGCCGAAACTTTGTCAAGAACTAGGAAAATAAGACAATTCACCAATCTCTGTATTCCCATATTTTTTTATGCAGTGACCGCGCAAACTGGACGGTTGTCAATGCAAAGCGTGAGCGGGTTGGGGCGGATAGAAAAATAGCCCATCGGGTTCACCTGCGTATCGGCTATTTCAAGTTTGCTTTGAGAAAATATTAATTAAGTTTGAGAACCACTACCCTCGTACCTTTTTTTCTTTTTCTACTGACGAGTTCATTTTGACAAAAACAAAAACTTCTTATGTTTTGCTTTTCTGACGATAACTTATTCTAATTATCTGACAATAGAGATGCAATTAAAATACGTAATCGTCAAAAAGCAAAACATGAGAAGTTTTCGTCTTTTTCAAATGAACTCGTCAGTAGGAATAGAAGAAGGCTACGAGAGTAGTGGTCGATTTGTTTTTCTCAGGCTAACTTTTTTCTTATCGACATCTTTTAAAATGTAAGCTTTGATCTGGTCTTTCGCAAACCTCAGCTCAATAGTATAAATAAAATAATTCCCATCCTCTTTACCTGAAGTTACAATCTTCTTCGCTCTTCTTCCTTTGGCTTCTATTACAAAATGAGTCAAAATTAATGTCGAAGAATATAGACATCCATACAGCTATAACAAGAAGTGCCAAAAAACGTTTTATTGACCAAAATCCAAGACTACAAGACTGATTCTTATTACCCGATTAAATCTCTGTACTACAAGGTAGTCCGTTTGACGCTGTGCTCCGTGTTTGAACTCAGCAATACATGAAAACTGATAGCACACTTCAACTTGTTTTAAAACATGATCAGAAAGTCAATTTCCTCATTTGCCTTCACAAAATCTATGATTTTCTAGGACTTGTATTTACCTCAAACAAAATACGTACTAAAGAAATTGGTTGCCACTGCTGGCAACAATGATCCCATGAAAGAGAACGCCTCAAATGCTTTCCAGTTTTTAAGAATATCAACAAATGATTTCGTATCTTACTGTTTGACTTTCGTGATGATTTGCTAGCCACTTCTTTAGTGAAATCTTTCTGGGACATACTTTTCGCTACTTGCTTCTTGGTAGAGCGTCCTGTTATAATGTTAATAAACCAATCAATTAACAGAGACACCTTGATTCAAGGTGGCCTTGCACTCCCTCGCAGAATTTTAAGTTTACAATAATGTTTCCTCTTATCTTACTTATAAATATTCGATAATAAAAATGGAGGTTTCCCCTAATGGTAACATTTAGCGCGTTTCTAACGGGTTTTATTGTTTGTATGGTAGCCTGTTATATAAAAAGGATGATCACAACTTGTTAACCAATGGCTGGGTATTTGTGTGATACCATTATTGGAGGATGATATGACTAAGAGTGGTTGTATTGATCCATCAAAGTATAAGTGATAGAAAGAGCTGGAAACTATTGTCAGCCAACTTAATTAAGTCGGCACTGCCAATATTCTGTGAATTCAGGAAACAATTTACGCACCTGAAGACGTTCCTTCATCGAAAGCGTCAGTCTTGTCATCTTCCTCACCATCAGTATCATTAAGTTCATCATCAGTGTCAGAAAGTCTTGGTTCTGCGATTTCTAACAAAACCTTTCCGAGTCAGAAATTTCGCTCATGCATTCCGCTTTTGCTGTTGAATATTTTCCCGCTAAAAAAGTAGGGTCACGGGATCAGTTTTTGAGATACTCTACGTACAAATTAAAATCTCGACTTCGAAAGATCGCCCCTTGCGCATGCGTGAAGGTGGTCTGCTGATCAGTAAAGCTCGCAATTCCACGCGAATACTGTTTCTTTCTTTTTTTTTTTTTCGCTGTTGTCATTAGCAGCATAACTAAAGTGGTAGAGGACGAGCACCATAAATACCTGAAGGTGAGACTCGCAAAGTAAAAGAACGAAGACAACTTGAACATGAGGAGCTTTGCTCAAGAAAAAAAATCTCAGCAGGCGCAGGAAATAATTGATGCCCTGGTATGCGATAGAAAGGTGTTTGCTTGGTGTCATAAAATTAATTAAGACCGGAACACCGAGTATCCGCGAGAGACGCGTCATTTGAGCGCTAGGCAAGGCGAGGAGCCAGCATCCCACGCAACCGTTTTATTGTGGTGTGACCTTTCTGTTTAAAATGAAAAAGATTTTGATCATTCGAAATGTATCTTAAAAATAAAAGCTCGCGTCATCTACCCACAGAAAGTAATTCACATGATAAACAAATCCAGATTGGACTGCCGGTGATTTGGACGGGGCACGCCAGGCTTAAAAGACATTACGTTAAAGCATTTTATATTTCCTTTGTCACTTTGATAACATTTTTGAAGGAGTGACCTGTATTTCATGTGGAAATGTGTGACAAAGCGCCGCAAAAACTTGTTTCCAGTGCCGCTCAAATGAATGGACGGCAGCGTACATGTACGATTTTTTTTGTTTTTGAGGGTCAGGCAGCGATCATGTGATGTAACGGAGTTAAATTCTTACTAATTAATTAATATTCTACCCTTTAGACTTTCAAAGTTCAAAAGCGCTGTGGTTTTGATTTCGAAACCATTTGAAGTGAAGGCGACCGTCGACGGTATGAGTCTTCGTTTGCCATTTCGAGTCTGTCGAGGGTTACAACCCCCAAAAGCATTGGCATACACTCAAAGAAGAAATATGTGGAGTCCGGCCGACGGGTTTCTCCAAAAATGAAATATTTAGGAGATTTCCTGACGAAAGACGTGGCAACGCGGGAACTTGAACCCGCCAAATCGGCCTATGCCAAAGTGGAATTCAATATGATGCCAGCTACTGTGTACGTCGCTTCCACGTTCGTTTGATCACTGATGTTCTTCGCCAGAATATCATTCCACCGGATAGCCTTGTAAATTCTGTTACGGACTTAAGTTACATATTAGTGATATTAGACTTGAGGTAAGTTTGGTTTTAGTCAAATTATTCCCAATACAGTGAGGTATTTCTGTTTTCTGGTCACTTCAATTTAAAGAAAACATTTAGCTTTGTTATTCTGTTTCTCTTCGATAGTCAGTTTATTTAGGGGCTTTTGTTATCTAATGGCAAAATCTAATTTTTATCATACTTATTTTGTACTAACTGGTTTTGTTTCTCTTGGGTAGTCAGTTCATTTATGGGCTGTTGTTATCTGATGACAAAACCTAATTTTTATCATTATTATTTTAAACTAACTGGTACTGTTTCTCTTGGGTAGTCTGATGACAAGACCTAATTTTCATCACAGTTTTCATTTTGTACTAACTGGTTCTGTTTCTCTTGGGTAGTCAGTTCATTTATGGGCTGTTGTTATCTGATGACAGAACCTAATTTTCATCACAGTTTTCATTTTGTACTAACTGGTTCTGTTTCTCTTGGGTAGTCAGTTCATTTGTGGGCTGTTGTTATCTGATGACAGGACCTAATGTTCATCATTTTCATTTTGTACTAACTGGTTCTGTTTCTCTTGGGTAGTCAGTTCTTTATGGGCTGTTGTTATCTGATGACAGGACCTAATTTTCATCATTTTCATTCTGTACCAACTGGTTCTGTTTCTCTTGGGTAGTCAGTTCATTTGTGGACTGTTGTTATCTGATGACAGGACCTAATTTTCATCATTTTCATTTTGTACTAACTGGTTCTGTTTCGGATTATTATTATTATTATTATTGTTTATTGCTATTATTATCAACATCATTATTGAGTGATCTAAAACTATTTTTCTTTGACACAGGGCTATAATTTGCAGCAGGTGATGGAATGTACACTGATTTGCTTTAGTTTTCTTTCAGAAATTCACATAGAATTTACTTTAGTTACAATTATTGCTTGGGTAATGAGATAAACTTTCAGTGACACAGTGTGACAAAATTGTTTTAACCAAAATCATGATAACACCACCAAAACGTTTTATTATTAGTATTATTCGTTAATTACAAACGATGCTAATATATGTATGTAAAAACGAAATTATCTTGTCGTTTGTTACCGAGCTATCCGTACTGTAAAACGTCAAATGAAAAGTTATAACACTCACATGTCTATTTATAGTTCTTACAAATGATTTTATCAATGAAAATCGACGACAAAAAATTCCCTTCTCTGGCTTAATTAAGAAGCTTGGGTTGCAAAAAAATGTGTTTGTAAAACACAACCGAGTCAATTATCGTACGTTAAATAAATCAAAGCGTTACTTTAGCAAAATAGAATCTTAGGGTTAACTTCCAGAGATTACTTCAAACCCTCTGGTTGCCTTCCCTTTGCCGTGCCCTGTGAGCTTTGCGTTAGATCTCACGGTTTATTATTATAGAATCAAGTCGCTATTAAAATGAAGCTGTTATAAGTCAGTTGTAGTTACTGATGTCCAAGAATTCCAAATGTTCCTGTTTCGGGAATCGTAGTTTCTCTGGGATTAAATCATTCTCATTGAGTAAACATTAATTTATCACAGGTAAGTAAATGTACTTAATTTATCACATCGAACCTCGTTGCTGACGCCGTTTTGTGTAATGTTCTTGCCGACTACACAGTAATAGACAGAAGATAGTATACTGTTCGATCGACATAATTGCAAATAATTTCATTCCTCCCGTAAGAATAGATTTAGGTCGTCATTAAAATGTTTCTCGGGTGGTAAACCTTAGCTTCTCGTAATATTTTCTGAGTCGGCAAAGGGTTTATGTTTCATTTTTTTCAATTTCTCTTTAGTAACAGATATAAACCCCGCTCTCGTTAAGGTTTGGTTTTTGATCTTCAATTATCCCGTTCGAGTGATAGTTATTTCTCTTGCTATCGCCTTCTATAATTATGGTTGTGCGATCAATAAAGAGCGGGGTTTTTTTACAGTAGAGCCATGCCTTGAATACTATTTCGCGTGAGAAGTAACAGTTGACGTGTGTCTCCACGCGAGTAAAGCCAACAAATGCGCGTCCGTATCTGGAAAACCTTTTTATTATGTCAAGAAATGTCTTATTTACACGTCTCGTGATTCCCACACCGGGTGTTTTTGGATGCCGGCAAGTGCGAAAAAAGTAATTACCGAGGATTCCAAAGTAACACCTCAGTCGTATGAAGGCGCGAATTGTGATCTCCCGTTTCAGTTAATCATAAGCCATGGGTAGATTCAATCTACCCTTAGCCTAATTTGCATAATTTTTTTCGGTGAGCAAAGCCCGTCATGAGTAGTTTTTCCTTGCAGTTTTTTAGACTGATACCCGGCGTGATTGATCGCAACATCAACATCACAATTTTTGTTTACGTTCCAGCACAGTGGTTTAAAAGAATGTTTTTCCTTGGAAATTGCCTCTTAAGGCCCAAAAATAACTGATATCGTAAACAGCTTACCAAACCTGGCGGAAACAAATTTTTACAAAGTAGGCCTCGCGCCGCCATGTTTGTAACTTTAAATCTCGCGCGCTATCTCGCGACCTGAATGAATGAATGAATGAAGGACACCTCTCGGGTGATCGCGTGATGCCTCGCGCTGAAATACACGTTAGAGCCCAGGCGTCTTCCGGTATACTACTGTTTTGAGTTGCCTTAAATTAGCATGAAAAGATCACTTGTACTTACCATTCAGATCGATTTCTGTCAAGGTTTTTCCGGCAAATTTGCCTGTTTTCCCTTGATCTACCGTTAGAAGCAGTTTGCCAACTTTAGCGATTTCAATTGTAGACTCATGGAGTCTGTAAAAGTCCCTATGCACTCGAATGTCATGGCCAAGGTGTCTCGCGAGCCAATCCACTTCTGTTTCTTTCAGAGACAGTACTTGCGAAATAGTTCCTATGTACTTCCTCATCCTTGTAGTGGTGATATTTGTAGGGTTTGACAAAGGTGGTTCACACTGTGTGCTTAATTTCTTGAGACAATCCCAGGCACGCATAGGCTCTAAAGACTGTCTATTTGGTCTTGCAAACACGTACAGATTCTCATCTGCGATGCCTACTGCTTTCCTCGTCTTGATTAGAACATCAATAGCGTTGATCATCTCGGGGGTCAAGATGACTGGAACCTTTCTTCCCCGCTTGCCACGAATCTCCACCATGTCTAGTCTAAATACAACAATAAAAATAACTCTCTTTATCTGTGGAAAGTCTACCATTTCGAAAAGGAGGAGTTGTTTTTCACATGATCACACTAACGCAACTAAGGGTGTGTTTCTTTTAGCAAATCCAAGATTGGATTCTTGAATCCCAAAGAAACCAAAAACGGATTTTGCATTTCTTTCCTAAACAGATCAATCCAAGATCTCTCGGATCATGGTGTATCAAAGGGACGGAATAATCCTTGCCCAGAGTGGATTATTCGGTTTCTTTGACGCACCAGGATCCGAGAGATCTTGGATTGATCTGTTTAGTAAAGAAACGCAAAATCCGTTTCCGGATTCTTTCGGATTTAAGAACCCAATCTTGGATTTTCTTAAAGGGAACCTCCACTCTTTAAGAAAATATCGCCCAAAATGCTCTTTAAGTCTCCAAAAGTAGATTTTTCGCACACAAAAGTGTTCTCTCGCTTTAGATGTTTCTTTTTGGCCTCTCAAGAGAGGCCTTCAAGACGAGTTCGAACTTCCCGCGGTCGCCATTTTGATCGGCGCGCAAGGCTCTCTGGGGTGATGAGGTAAGATGGTTGCTCGATTCCCATGCTCTCGGTAAATTTGAAGCAAAATGCCGCATTGCGTTGTTTTTGAGTGTAGTATTCAAGCTAAAAACAGGAAAAAGGATCCCAAAATTCGCTTTCACAAGTTTCCGGATGATGTGGCAATACGACGAGCGTGGATTCCACAGGCGGCCCAGACGTAGTATGTGTCACTGAATGAATATATTAATATCCACATGGACAAATTAATGCGACGAGTCGTCGAAACTCCCATGGATTAAAATAGTCTAAAAGTCAAAATATAACAAAACAAAGCTAAGATACCTTCAACTGAACGTATCCTTGTCATTCCTGGCCGGTTTAAGTGGCATTTTGTTGAGTTTTGCAATTGTAGGTACTATCCACTAAAGAAGAATTAAAGGCTGGCTACAAAACAAACAGACCATCTCCACGCGCCTTCACACGAAGCGCTATAAATTCGAGAATAATCGACGAATCCGCCCCAAATAACCATCGGCTAATCTGCAGGTAACGTGTGCTCCTGCTTCTGGCTCGCTTGCTCCACAAAACCCATCGCAACTGCACAATAATTGCTCGCTCATCAACAACCACTGTTGACCTTTACGCTTCGATATGACCGCAAACGACCAGGTTTAATACGCGACGTGAATATTCAAGCTTAGCTACCGCGTTCGCGCAACAAAGCAGCACTTGCTATGGGAGGGATGGTACTATTGCTTCTAGGTCAATCGACTGACCGAAGGTTCGCTGCGTTAGTTTTGACCAGAAAACAAAAGGCGATCGCGGGACCGTCCGTAAGTTTTCAACAGGGCAGCCCTGGTTTTCAAGTTCGAATTCTTCTAACGTTCGCTGTCTCAGCTGCTGTCAGATTGTTCGTCCAGCCGCTTGCGTAGGTTCTTGACTCTACCAGACTTATTTGCTTAGATTAACAACGTCTTACTCCATAATATGTTGTCCAAACTGGTGAAGGAGGACGAGAATTTCCCCCCAGAAAAAAGGCAAAATCTGGCCCCCGCTATGCAGCTGAATAGAAGATACAGCTGAAGATATCGCAAAGTAAAATTTATGTGCGCGATATCTTTTTTATGATTATTATTATTCTCAAAACTCAGGGGCACCCAACGATGATTTCCCCCTAAATGCATCGAAAACACATTTAAGGCTGTCCAGAGTACTTTTGATCGAAAAATGCATTCTTAACAGCGCTTACATAAATTTAGTCAGGAGGGCTAAAAGGGAAGCTAATGATCTCATACTAAATATAAAATATATCGTGTAATGCTAAGCGGAGAAGGCAACGAGACAGGGCCACCCAACGACTGTTTTCTCAAATACTTTCAATTGAAAACACTTTTGTAGCTATTTATAAAGTACTTTTAGCTCTATAGAAATGCATTCTAAGTGGCGCTATAAAATTTGCATCTCAGTGTTCGGCCATTCTAGAGGAACTTGAGTCTTTTCGAAATTACGAGGAATTCAGAATTATTTTCCCGAAAATTTTAGATGCAATTTAACGTATTACGAAGGACATAATTTTTCAGATACCTTCTTTCATCACATTTTTGAATCCGAAAATTTTAAGATTCCATTTTACTCTCTACGAAAAATAGCCTAACCCGGTGAGTGAAATGTGAAAAATTAAAAGTTGGATGCCCTTGACCAGAACTGTGAAAAACAACAATAGGTCTAATTGCAGCACACTTTCTTGTACATTTTCTTGCCGCTGATTTGCATGACTGCAACGTGAAACGTCCAGAAAACTTCCTGGTTTTCACTTTTTGTGGAGAAAATGTGGTACATGTTCTTGTTCACTTTTTCCACTGCCGCCCATTTTTTTTAGCTCCGCTTTAAGATTTGTCTCTGTTCGGTGCTCCTTGGGCAAATTGGATCTTTTTAAAAATTACAAGGCCTTCAATATTTAATATCACTGGATGAAAAAACAGATTTGAAATGAGATAAATGTGGGACAAATGTGGTCTAAATATAAAATTTGTCATATTTGTTCACATTTGTGCAAAGCACAAATTAGACATTTGTCTCTAAGACAAATAGGATAATGATGCATTTGCTGTCTAAGACAAATGTGAACAAATGCTGTGTAAATGTAGGACAAATTTAACATTTGCTTTGTGACAAATACAGATAAATGAGCCAAACTGCAAACAAATGTGTTCAAATGTGTTCAAACTTTGTCAAATAACATATTTGTATGGACAAATATAGAGCAAATTTTATATTGTAAAGTGAGCGTGCCAGGCCAGTACATACGTACTACCCTTCTCTCTTTTCTTCCCTGGCATCTACCCCTTTATTGCTTCTTGCAATTTGCACTTAACACTAGCTTTCAACCTTTCTTTAAAGTGGACTAATGCTGCAGAAGTTCATTCAACTAAACTAGGACAGGTTGAAAGACCATCAGTTCGATCCCTTTCCCCCTCATTTATCACAACCCTTGCCTGAAACCCTGATATAACAAGACACTGCTAAAACAGTAACAATCTTCAGTGCACTTCGTTCCTTGAAACTTCTTAAATATCAGAGTTCCACTGTAAAGGGTGCAAGGTGATTACAATATTTAAAGAAAAATGACTCAAGAATTTTAACTGACAATTCTCATTTATTTCACAAAGCTTGTCCTGATCTTACAATTAACTGTAAAACAAAACTAAAACATTAAGTTTAACAAGTGTCAGTTCATTTCAGGATGACCAAGTCAAAAGACTTTATTAGGTAGATAAATAAACAGAAAGTGACCAAGTTGGGATTGCAAAAATCACTTTTTTTCCAAAGTGACCGAAATGGGGTCTATAATATGGCCACAGAGTAGACTATCGGTATACAGTAATGGGATAGGGATACTGAGAGGCCAGCAGCACATACCCAGTAAAAATTAACCATTAAATAAAACTTTCCCTTCAGGTACCATTGGTACAACATCCAACAAAGTGTATCTTTAGTTAATTACCACAGGAAAGATAACAATCTTCATCGCACTTAGTTCCACTGTTATTAGAGTATGTAATTTTAAATAATAGCTATTAAAAACACCTCTGTTAAGTGGACACCTTGAGAAGGTCCCTGTTTCTCTTTATAACTCACTCTATTTGGATCTCTACAAGACGGATATACCGAACCAGTAGTGCTGGTCCCAAAGGTGTCCATCTTAAAGAGAGTTGACTGTCCAGACAAAATATTCTTATTTCTTATATTAAAAATATAAATGTATCTAAATGCACTTTAGGAAATACCAATGACAAAAAGCAAATGCCTCACAATTGCCAAGGTTTGTTTCGTGGGCTATTGATACTTGCCAAAGGAAACAAAACTAATGAAATAGCTGACTTCTGGAGTGACTGCTAAAGGGTTTAATGTACATTTGTCATTAATCATTAATGCTACAAAGACTTGACTAAAATTTGGTAAACAGCAAAGATTTCACATATCATAATATATTTTTGTACACGCATCTTATTGATAGCTTGAGAATTTGCAAAGTAATCAAAGACTATACCATTTGCACTCTTCAATGTTTGCCACAGTTAACCAAATAATCCAAGTTACATTTATATAAGCTCTTAGAAAATCCATAACATGTACTGTTATTAAAATCTATAAACAAATAATGGACTTTGGACATTTAAGCCAACAGTTAAACCTTGGTTATCTGGACCTCAATTAACCAACATTTTGATTATCACAACTTTTCCTGTGGTCAAAGATTTCTTAAATGAATATTGCAAATAAACGAGAAGGTAAATCTAAGCCTGATTTTCTTTTGGCTTCACATCTTCGAAAGAATCATTGAAAAGTTTTCTTTTGTCTTTGAAAAGCAAAGTTGGTACTTTTATGTGATGTCAGCCTGCAAGGAAAGTTGTGTCTGATAGCCCGGGGCTAGTGGATTTTGCTATCGGGCTAGTGATTTTTGTTCTTAACTTGCCTGATGGGCAAGTGCTGTTTTTTGGAGAAATTCAAATTACCGAAGGATTGTAATCAATCCTGCTAATCAAAAAGGGTTTGGGGGCTAGTTGAAATGACTTGTGGGCTAGTGCGGGGTAGCTACAGCTTGCCAGAATGGCAGGCTGTAAAACTGACTTTCTTTGCACCCTGGATGTATATGATAAATTAAGCTACCCTATTAAGACAAAAAAATGCCACAGTTGATTATCTTCTGTGGAAGGTAGCCTCATACTACTAATAACATATTCTTTTCTATTATCTCCACTCTCTTTCTCATTAAATTCATATGAATTCATATAAACAAGGTCAGGCCAGGTTGTGTAATGCTGGTTTATGTAAACTTTGAGTTGAGATAGGAAAGCTTATAAACAAATTCACTTTAAAAGTTCTTTTTGTCTGCAATTTGATGATTGGATGCTCTAAAAAAGAAGAGCACATTAAGTGTGAAAATGTTTTTGAACGAATGAAAAAGGAAACCAAATTATTTAAAAATTTATCCCGTGTGGGTTCTAATAAGCCTTAGAACAA